TGCATGACCGAGGAACGGGTCAGTTGCTCTTTCTGCACACGGCAGCAAGATCAGGAACCGAGTAGACTGGACTCCGTTTGTGAGTAGTGAAAAGAGAGTAGTGGATAAATGCTTCGAATTCATACTTCCCTCAATCTATCCATTGCTCTGTCCCAGTTGGTTGCCACTGAAACACACAAACTACTTATTTTCACCTTCAACCCTCATCCATTGTATTGCACTCCAATCTATCAATTATTTCCAATCACTCTTTACTGTGTTGTCAACCAGACCATCAATCATGCATATACCAAATTGATGTCTTTGAAAATGATAACGCCTCTTGAATGAATCGAACTTTCCTTTGAGCCATGTGTTTATTTGCACGACAGTGTACCGAAAACTTCCTTGCAAACTCCCACAGTTTTCACTCAATGGCAGGGCTTCTGCCACCGTCCGTAATGCCAATTCACTAATTCTTCCAACAGCATTTTCCTTCAAAATGAAAACTCGAGTCACTCATTATTTGATGGCAACCTGATTTGGACAATACTCTCATCTTCTCTCTAATAGTGGACATAGCTGAATGAATAGTCACAGTTGCCTTGACAGCTACCTAATTCCCTAACCATTCACCTGTACTTGTGGATTAAATGCACGAAAGCAAAGTAAGGAAATGCGAAAATGTCTCTGTCTCCTAATTCATCCACTATTTCTTTCAATCCCAAATTGTTATCCTTGCCATTTTGATGTTATACCTCGTCAGGCCCAGAGGATAATTACCTAAAAATCACTTTCAAAATTTGTTCCCATATGCTAGCCTCATACTCCTCTAATCATTACCCATTAAGCATTTACCTTTTAACAGTGGTTGTAGAAAAAATGGCAGCCTAATATCCTTTTCTCTTTCAATTGTGAGATTATCATTACTATCTCGCTGGTTATTAAAGAACATGAAATCAGTTGAATCATCCTTATCAAGTTATAAAATCGTAAAATATTAATCCATCTATCTAGCTGACATTTTTTGTTTTAATGTCCTCTCTTTACTGAATCTTTTCCCTATTTTAAACATTTAATTATTAACTAAAACTGAGGCCAAACAAGCTTCCATTGCAATTTCATTAAATGATTAAAAATAGACTACTCACTAATAGTTTAAGTAGTCTTAAAATTGAGTTTTCGTTTATTTCTACTCTCCTATTCCTCTAAACGGAGTGCAAATTTCTGCCTGTTTTCGCCAGAGCTGAAATGGTCTCTAGGACAGCGTAAGCAAGTACGTTTCATTGTTTCGCCAGACCTAGGCCTGCTAAGAAGAATCTACTGTCGATATCTGCCTTGATCGACTTTCAATTGTTTTCATAAGGCACTTTGGATAGTTGTAGGTTGGTGCAAATCAGGGCACTTTTTACCGAAAATTCTTGCTTAAAGAAAGAAAAAATGTCGACGAATGTACCTGGTCGGAGTAAGTGAAGGCATGATCATGGATATTCCCTAGTAAACATGGCAAACTTTGAAAAATGAAATCAAGCCAATCAGTAAAAAGAGGACAATGTTTCCGAACTAGTTCATCATATCAGCAGTTGCCTGGCATGCAAATCACAAGTCGGGCATAATACTTATTTCTTTTCCCCAATCCAACTCGTGTATATAATATTTCGCTTCTCTCCGCACTGAAGATACCGATTAAGAGGATAGGATAGTATTTGTGCGTGATTCAAAGTCGCAGAAGAGGAATAGACTGTGCTCTTTTTTGATATGCCCAATTCGAAGAAACGAAGTCTAAAAGTTCATGAATTGGAATGAGGCTAAGTTCCCATTGATAGAAACAGCACCTACTAATATTCTAATTTTATTCAAAAAGGTGAAATAATATACTTGTTATAAAGGGAGATGTAGTGATATGGGGCGCTATTGTTGTGATC